CCATGGTGGGGGGTATGAGGGGTCATTGATAATGTTACGTAATAATTTATAATACCATAATAATTTAAGGTCAGTCAAATTAACCACACAGTGATCTGAGTTTACTTGAATCTAAATCAGTGCGTTTAATCCCTGGCTGGATGTTTAGGTCTCTCTAGGTTTTACTGCAGGATGACCCTGTATTATTTACCCCCATCCTTCTTCCTATTAACTATGACCAGCATCACAGTCTCTGCTGAAGATAAGCCTCCCCAAACCATTATGCTAACATCACCATTTTTCATCATTAGGATGTTTTGATCAGTTTTTCCAGCCGAACTGACCAGAGCATCTTGATCCACATATTTTCTTCTCCAATTTAAACTTGTAAAGACTTTGGGTGGACGTCTGTTTATCAGGACATCTACAGTCCAACCTTCCTCTTTCCATTTTCAGATGATTTCTTTAAATGGTGCATCTCCATGACTTCATCTCTGACCTGCATTCATTGGACCATATGTTCACTAAGAAAAAAAAAACATTTGGATTAAATACCACACTAGACTGTATTTATTCATTAGTTAACTTTCTAAGGCAAGTGATTGTGGTGGATAATACTGAAGAGGCATAAGAGAAATGAGAGCTAAATAAAAAAAGTGCAATATATATTAATAACATATGGAGAAGCCATGTGTCATTTTCCTTCCAGTTACGAGACTAATTTTAATTGGTCTATGATAGAAAAAAAATCCCAAAACAACACAATTAGTTTGTGGCTTTATTTAAATAAAGGGGAAAAGGTACCATTGATATGAATAGTTTGGCAAGGCAGGTAAATTAGGAGAAAAAAATATGACTACAGTTGAAGTATTTGTACATGTCCTGCAAACACATAAACGTCCCTAACACACATGCTGAAAAACACATGTAAATAAAAAAAATGCTGCAGAGGAGAAAAGCTGCATTCACAGGAAATAGTGAGCAACAAAAAGGAAACGCCCTAAACCACAAAACCTACAGCAAACATTACAAACAATGCAAACACAAAATAAAGACAGAGAAAAATGCTGCAAGTAGCAAAAACAACTGCAAGTTAAGAAAAAACAGGCAATACTAGAGCAGCATATTGGAAGTCCTGGGAGATAATCATCAACTATATGGGATCAGAACTTTAGTAAAGGTATAAACTGGATGCTAAGAGAGATTTCCCCTTTTCACTACCCGATCCATACTGGAAGCACGACCCGTATGTGCAACCAGATATACATCAGGGTAGAGACCTAAATTAAGTTTTTCCCCTCCCAGAAAATAGTTAGCATACTAAACTATAATGTGTTAAAGGTCAATAATGTAGTTTAAGACCTTGTAGTATATAGAGTGTGATCTAAATAAACAACGAAAATGCAGTTAAAAATTGTTTAACCCCTTTTTGCCGGACTAAAGGGCAGATTATACTTCTGCAACCGCACACATCAAATGTCGCTTGCATCTTGTCGCGAACCAGTTTTGCTGGTATGCTTCTGCAACGTCGGACTGGAATTTCTAGGGACGCACAGCAGTTTCCCGCCAAAGCGCAAGGGGGAGACTATTCGAGATCTCGTGAGAACTTCAACGGTCAAGACAAGTTCTTCGGCGGCGGCAGCGGGAGTGTTTATTTAACAAAACAACAATGGCGCATCTGGAAGATATCACGGTCAGGGATCTAGACTATCCATTGTTGTTATTCCTCGTTTTTTTTAAATGGCGCGCCCCGGCACCGAATCGAGAAGGGCAACCACACAGACCGCCGGAAAGGCATACAAAGGACCAATCACAGCTGCTTTTTGTCTGCGCACTTCCACTCGAGGTCTGGGCAGGTTTGCGACTGTCCGACGTGTAGTCAGGATTTTTTTGAGGTGTTTTTTGAGGTTACAGAACCTCTAAGTGGGGGGCGTGGTCGCGCACAGAGACAGATTTGATGGTTGCAGAGGGTATGCGTGAGAAGCATAATTGGCCTAAATCTGAGCATGTCGGACATGCGATCAGACATGCGAAGCATCAAATTGTCTCAGGAAAGTCATTAAAAAAATTCACAATGTGTATTAGCATTCTTTAGTGATTTAAGGATAGAAATAAGTACTTTTAGTACCATAGTTAAATTATTTATTGCAACCTGGATGAATATCTCCTTGTACTTGCGCAAATGAGCTGACGGTATGTCCATATGAGTTGATGATTGGCTCCCCCTTGTGGTCTGGATCACTTCTGTCATGTAGGGCTAATTTGCAGCTTCTTTATATGCAGCTGCATTTTTTTCTACTAGCTGTATTTTCCTTTGTATGCATTGTGTGTGTGTCCCTTAGCATAATTGTAAGTTTGAAAGGTGTTTCCATTTTGCAGCTCCCTGTCCTGTGATTGCAAAGTTTCTCCTTTGCAGCATTTTTTTTAGTCTAATTTTTGAGTTTGCAGGACCTTTTGAATTTACTGTGAAATCATGTATTTACACAGCATTTGCATCGCCGGGTTACATTATTATTCGATCCTATAGCAGAGAGCTCTGCTCTCTGTTCAGAGAGCTCCTTGCTCCTTGAGAGACCTTGACTTCCTCAGCAACACCGGTTGAAAGAGAAGTGGAAAAAGACATCGGGCCTCAAAGCTGTGTTCCTATGTTGAAAGCTTCTTCAGATAAAACATCTGCTACTTATCAAAGCAATAGAGGCTGCTGCAAAGCTGCCAAAAAAATCTCTGATTTAAAAGACAATAGAGCTCTTTCATCAACATGTAATACAGTTTGACTCATCAGCAAAGGGAAACCATACAAAGATTTCCTTCTTGGCTGCTTCAGCCTGAAGCTCCTGAAGTTTCATTCATGGCTCACAGGGAACTTTGAATCAGAAGCATCTTAAACATCCTGAGAAATAAACTCTGTGAATCTAAAAGGATTACTCTTAAGTGTAAAACAAGAATTGTGTGATAAGCAGAGAAGTCTATCGCTACATTCTCCTCCCCAATGATACTTACTTCAATTGCAGTAAAAGATTAAATTAAATTGTTTTTTGCATCTATTTGATGTCCCTAACCTACCTGACCCATGTGTTTATTGGAACCAGTAGGAAATTGAAAGGAGTTTTGATCCTCTGTTTCTTTAGTCCTGTAGAGTAACACAGCAGAGCCGTCATCCAAAGCGTTATTCACAAAAATCATAAGAACGAATGTTCGGGCAAATTCAAGCCCTGCTGAAAGCAATTACTCTTAATTTCATGACTTAAAAAAAAAAAAGGAGATAGAGTGAGCCGAGAGAGTGAGTGTGTCAGTGCTAATTTGACCTAAATGGATTCCGTATGTTCGCAGAAACATTACATCCACACTGGAACCTCCCTGCTTGTCATTTAACTGCTCTGAGGTGCTGCTAATTACCGCAGAGGGGTCAGCAGACTCCTCATCATGGAGCAGCAACAGTGGAAAGGCTGCTGACAGAAATGTGGGCTGTGATTGCTTCTACCCGTTTAAAGCAAGCGAGCAGCTCAGGCACGGGCAGTAGACCAGGGATGTCCTGCAGCCATCGTGTGGAGAAGCAACCAATGCAGCCACAGGACACCTCAGAGGGCGCAGAGGCCGGTCCAAGCCAGAGACCATGTTTCCACTGGGGGAGGAGCTATGATTAGAGCAGTCCTGGTCACGGGTGGCGGACGCAGGGCTGCTCGCCTCACAGGCGGTTTGCTGGACATTCAGGTCCATGTAGTTTTAGGAGGACGGGATGGAAAAATAAAGGCCATTTAAGAACGGAGGTTACTTTATGACTTTTGACTCAAATAAATCAAAACCATATTTCTACTTTGTCCTAAATTATTTTATTTATTGATATTTTGCTTTAATTCAGACAAACTTCAACACTTACTTCAAAGATCTCCAAGGTGCAAAGTAAAAAAAAATAAGGTTTAAAACGGATGATTAGTGATGTAGATTTCCTGTTTGCTGGATGCACATGGCATGGACTTTTTCAGGTGAATCTAATTTCTATAAAGCAATCTAGCTAAAGCAATCTGTGTTTAACTTTATTTTATTAATTTAAATCCATTCGAATGGCTTTTTTTCAAAACATACTTCACTTCACTTATATTCATTATTTGTCCTGAGTTATCGCAAAGGAACTGAAACTGATCAGAATCAGTGATTCTTCTTTTTACCTCCTTCCACAGATAAAACCACCTGCAAAATAATATTCTAATTTCTTTATTGTTGCATTATATAAAAATCACCAAATGACATCTTTTTTAATGATAAATATCTTTTGAAGTGTCAAAAACTGGATAATAAATTTAGGAGAAAGACATAACGACACATAAGGTGGAAAAAAATAGATAAAGCATCAAAAAATGTTTAAACATTTTTCACATTTAAAGCCTAACCTTTACTGCATTTTTTAAATTTCCTTCTGTTTTTATCCCGTTAATGTAGGGATACACATATTCCGACCCATCAGTGTTATGAATGGAAACATATGGACTGAAGTTAATAACGAAATATCCTTTAAAAATCTGGTAACGATCAATGTTTTTATTAGCGCTTCAGAAAAGAAACAGTTTAAACCCCTAAAATATTATTTTGGCAGAAGGAGTTACTCCCTCTTTCTCAACAGACGTCAGTGATTTAGGAGAAAATATGAGCTGTTGATGAGGTTAAGCTCAAACGACTGAATTATGATTGTAAAAATTTTAAAAACAAAACAGCGCCCAAAGATTCCTGCTAATTGAATCCTCATTTTTTTTCTCTGGCGTGACCCTCTACCCTGATTATTTGTTCTTTATCTGTTCGATGCTGAGGAAACAGAAGAACTCAAAAAAGATGTAAGAAAACATATCTGGTGTCTGCAAAATTTTAAATATACCATTTATAAAACAATGTTACTCTTTTTAAACGTAGTTTTCTTTGAATTATTTTTTTTTTTTTTTATATTTATCCCCATGTTTAGCCACACTTGGCTCTAATTTGTGGTTTAGTTTCTATTTTAATCTTACATAAAACGTCCTTATGGGAAACCGTAAAAGTTCTCCATTAAAGACTAAATGAAGAGGGAGAAAATAAACAAAGCTTTTGTAACAAATTAACCAGCTGTTTGCTAAATAATCGAAACAGGAGGGGAGAAAAGCAAGAAGAGTTCCTAATTTGACAGATTATTTTTTAACCTGATTGTGCCAGGCTGTTTTTCTATGCCTGTAATTGCGCTAGCAGCAAATCAAGATGCTAGACTGATAACTTCAAAACATCATGACTCCTTTTTGCTGAGTGAAACTCAGTATGCAGATGCTGCATGCAGCAGCTGGCATCGTCTACCTTTCCCGTGCAGAACAGCCACGTTCAAGTCTGGGTCGCTGTCAAAGGCCTGCAGCTCCTCCAGCAGACGCCTCGCTGTCTCCTGGTTCACCGCGTTACGCACCTCTGGTCGGTTTATCGCCACGGTGACCACGGCTCCCCTTCGCTCTGAGACCACGGTTTGACCTGCAGCTAAAGACAGACAATCTGTGAGGAGAACAACGCTGAGAGAGAAGCTGCACAGAGACTTGACGCCTGACCCTTTCAGTGATGGCGCATCAACTGGTTTATGTGGTTTGAGTTGAAGGAAGGATGAGAGTGTGGAAGAGAAGCTCTCTGCAGAGGCAAAGTGAAGACCTCGGCTCTCTGCCTCAGTGTGTTTATGTGCAACACCAAACTGTGGCTTGAGGTTGAGGCAGCCAGCTGACCGGACATTGTTTAGGTTCATCCCAGGGAATCCACACCCACAGCTTACTGTGTCCAGAGGAGAAACAGAAGCTACTGACACAGACTGCTTCACCGAACCCAACGGAGGATGAAAAGCAAAAGCTAATTTATCTCAGGGAAGCTTTCTACTCGACAAAACCTTAAACAAAGACAGTAATTACACCGAGCTCTGAGTAAATGAACCACATCTGAACTGCCTCTCTGGAACATTGTTTGCAGTTTTTATTTCAGGAACTTTAGTGGCTGGAACACCAGGAAACACTTTGTTAAATGCACTATAAAATTTAATAAAAGATCAAAAGAATGACATATTCAACTAATAATTAGTGGGAAATGTAAAATGAAGCCACCAAACGGGTTGGGCAGCTGCTGGAAAGTTAGCAGCTCCATTAAAATATGGAATCAGTTCTGAAGAAATAATTTTAAAAAAGTTTTTTTTTCAGACAGTGAAACTTTTTTTCAATTTATATATAGAATCAATTGGTCCGAATATTTCTGGTAACAACAAACTGATCAACATGTTCCTTAGCAACATTTTTATGGGGACTTTCTGCATGGAGTTTGCATGTCTCCACCTGCATAAGTGGGTTCTCTCTGGGTACTCCAGGTTCCTCTCACAGCTCATAATTGTGATTGATAGGTTAACTGGTTATTCTAAATCAGGGGTCTTCAAAGTCAAATCCTCTTAGGCTGGAGTCCTGCAACTTTCTGATGCATTTCTGCTTCAACACACCTCACTCCATTATGAGCTCATTAAAAGAGAAAGATATACATCTAAACTCTTTCCCCAATCTGAAACTCTTCCAGAAACTATGATTTTTTTTCTCAGTGTTGCAGCGAGGAAATATTTCAATCCAAAAGAAATTGAGATTATTTAACAAAAATAGTAGAAATATGAATGTTTTCTTCGTAACTTCCCCAAGTGTCGGTTGATGGAATCCTCATCACCTTCAAAAAAAATTAATTTCATCTAATTGAAATAATGAACAACTTTTTATTTTACTTATCAGAGCTATGTGAATTCAAACTTTTTCACTGAGTTCATTATTCTTTAACTATTCAGAGTAGAAATTATCAATACAATGAGTTTTTAGGAATTAATCAGTACTATTCAGAATTCAAATATATCTCACCTTTAAGACTCTCTGAGTTTAAATGTATTTAAATAATGCAAAAACGAGGATTAATACTGAGATTACTACAATTGCAACATCAATTATTCCAGAATTAACCTTTCAAATTATGACAATGTTTTTTTATTTCTGTTTATCTGTACAGTAACGCTAGTTATTAATCACAAGTTTCTAATATTTTTATATTTAGAGAAGTATTTTTGATTGTTAAATATTAATCTGGACTGTACAAACTGCAACACCTATTAGGAGATAAATAAAATATTTCCCAGTTACTTGTCTGTCTGACAGCTTGCTTTTCAAAATAAAATAAACAAGAAAGTGGTGCTTTAAGAAACACTTCATCATGCACATATGACATTTCCTTCTTTTCTTAGTTTAAATGTTTCTCCAGAATTCAGAGGTTTTTCTTCCTTTCCTTTAATGAGAAATTAACTGCAGGTGTGCCAGAGCCTTCTTCTACGATCACGTCTATGCGGCCTCTGCTGCCACCTACAGTCTTCATTAAGCATTACACGCTCACCCGTCGGTTCTTCGTCTCCCGTTGAGGCGCTGTAGGTTCTTATTGTTTTCAAAGTCGTGCCCCTTGGCTGAGTCAATATTCTGCCTTGACAGTTTGCTGCGACAATTTTTCCCAAAGCCCTTCCATATTTTAGCGCCATTGCAAACAACCTCTGAAGGCAACGCTCACACGCTTAAACTTTTATTTTCTTAAACTATGGTGTAGGTACAATTATGGTCAGATCCTTTTCCGATATATCTTATTAGGGTGCAACACTATAACGTGTCCTGACAGAAACTGAGGTCAAAATGAACAAGGTTCTGAGGACAAAAACAAACTTGGTGCATTGCAACGGTCATACCTGCTAAAGCACAGCAGAGGGCGCACTTATCTCATCAAACACTAGTGTCAGGATTTATAAAAGGTTTGTGGTGGAAATCACATTTTAGAAATTTGTTGGCTATTAGCGAATTTTCCACATTGTGATTGTAGCAGCTTTTCATTGAGCTGACAGAAAATCTTAAATTCAATATAATTCAGTTTATTTATACAGCGCCAAGTCACAATACAAGTCATCTCAAGGCACTTTACAGTACACCAGGTCTTACAGTCAAATTGATTCAAAGTTTTCTATCGAAGGAAAACCTGTTGATTGCATCGACTCATTGACTTGAATGCAATCCCTCACACTAAGCATGCTTGTAGAGACAGTAGAGAGGAAAAACTCCCTTTTAACAGGAAGAAACCTCCAGCAGAACCAGACTCGATGAGCCTCATCTTCCAGTGATTATTCCCAATGGCAAACAATAGAGCTATGTTTTAAATAAACTAGAGCACTTGAACTTCTAATTATTGTTATATTAATTTAATTTACACTAACTGATAGAGAAATATAAAGTAGCACATGAACAGTACCTGCTTTCACTAGTGGAAGTATTTTGCTTATAGATAAAACATAGACAGAATTCGACTAAATATGACAAATCCAAGCTGTAAGAATATTGCTCGTGGCGTTTTAACTTAAATACTTTCCTTTATAATCTGCATGCAAATGTGTCCCATACTGCAGCTGTGGAATTAAAATACCACCAAAACTAAAGAAAAATACCCCTTGGTTAACATGCAACTAGATAACACATATTGTAACTTCCAATTTTCTTACAAATTTTGTAGGATGCTTGCTTCTTATTGAGTATTTTCTATACATTACACTATCCATGTCCTATCTAGTAAGAAAGACACTGGATGACCTTTTTTTTAACAAAAGATTTCTTTAATTTTTATGGTTTTTGTACATTTTAAGGCATCATGCACAGAAAAAAAGCCAAAGTAAAGATATTATGCGAACCCTCTACCAAAAATGATCTTTTAGCATTTAAATATGTGCTGTTAAGAATATGTTTATACAAATATGGCATGTAAGTGAACCTCAAAGCAGATTGTCACCTGCTCTCACAGTTTTTGTAAACATGGCTTGGAGCAAAGAGGGCAGAGGACATAAAAACAAAACAAAAAAAATGCACAGCATGCTACGACATGGGGCTTAATTTCCCTGAAAAGCATGCAAATTATATTTACAGTGCATTATTTTATTTAAACAGAACTATGTTCTTCAATCACTTCAGTTTAAAACAAAAAAAAAGTGTCGACATTAACGTGGCCATATTTGTCCTTAACCAACAGACCTGTTTACAGTTCATCAACAAAACACTACAAGATTTTTTTCTTTACCATACATCAAGCACCTATTTTTTTTTTTTCTCTAGGTTGAAGACTTCAGATTAAATTGCCCAAATTGGGCTGAGACCAGGTTAAAAAAAATATTGTAGTGTCCACTATGGCAGACATCCAGAGGGCACCGGGAGCTTTTGGCACAGTTGTGTCCAGTTGTGCTCTTCTGTGGCCTTCATGTGTGTTATACCACATTAAAGACCATGGAAAGATACTGTTCATAAGAGACTTGGATCCAGCCGTCCTGGTCCGTGTCGTATCGCCTGAAGACGTCGGTCAACCTCTAAGGAAATGGCACAACAGCGGCATTAGGCAATCGGCTACAATCAGATCTTTATTGATCAAATAGACATAAAAACTGGAATGTTAAACAGAGGAACATAATGACAGCTGCATCAGGACATCTTCATTCAGACCATTTTAAGTTTATGGTTTAAACCACTGATCTCTTTTATTCACAGGATTGCTGATAGCCCAAACAAAGCCACCATATTGGTACTCCCCACTCTCACGGAGACGCTCCATATAAATAGAATAGAATGGAAGATCCCTTTATTGTCCCACAATGGAGATCTCTGGTGTTTACAGCAGCAGAAAGATTTTAGAAAAAATTGTCACACAAATGTGGACCTTAGAAAAGTGTATCAGAATAAGATAAGTGAGGAGTTAAAAAATAAACAAATAATTGTACTGTAAAGTGTTTTAAGAATATAAATATTGTGCACATGGAGAATAAATAATCAATATAAGGTTATGCACATTTTTACAGTAATGGATATTTGAAAATAGCAGCAACATCAGAGATGAGCAAAATGACAGCAGCATTTTATTAAACTAAGATAGAAACTGCAAAATCAGCATGAATGTAACAATTTATTGGGGTTTTTGGGAACAGTGGTGGTTATAGAGTCTTACAGCTGCTGGGAGGAAGGATCTGTGATAACGCTCCCTGGTGCATTTAGGGTGCAGCAGTCTGTAACTGAAGGAGCTCTCCAGTTCTGCAGCAGCTTCATGCACGGGGTGGGAGACATTATCCAATAGATGTTAACTTAGGATCCTTTTGTTTCCCACCACCTGCACTGAGCCCAGAGGGCGTTCAATCCCAGAGCTGGCCTTCCTGATCAAAATGCCTACATGTGAAGCATTTGGCTGCAAAAACAAAAAGTTTGCCGACTGTGGGAAGACGTTTCACAGGGAATTTCACAGTCAGTGGATGTACTAACCAAGAAAATCCATTGACTGAGTTAGCCAATGACATAGTGTCTGATGTTAGAAAATAGAGTAAATAGAAAGTAATTCACAGTGAAATATCAGTGCAGTAATTCTTTATTAAGTGGAAGACGCTGTCTTTTACATAGCAAAATATGAATTTCATGTTACCTGTTATTTATGTGATTTTGATAGTGTACAATGTGAAGTTCTGTGGAGTTATTAAATGGGTTCATTAATTTAGCTCTATTGTCTGTCAGATTTAAAGGCAACTGCACAGAACCAGTATAAAGTATACGGCATCATGCATGCACAATTTGCAAATAGGAAAATACTATAGCATTAAGGGAAATGTACTTGTAATCAGTCCTGATTTGAAATCTTGAAATTACAGGTGCTGGTCATAAAATTAGAATATCATGAAAAAGTAGATTGATTTCAGTAATTCCATTTAAAAAGTGAAACTTGATATACAGGTGCTGGTCATAAAATTAGAATATCATGAAA